AAGGACACAAGAGAACACACATGGAATGATGAAAAGGAACGATGATTTTCCACTGAAAAATATTGCACAACTTCAGGTCTGCCTTCTCAAATTTTGCTCAGTGTAAATAAGTAGGTATGAATTAAGCAAAAACGTGTCCAGATAAACATGAGCAATTTCTGTGAATCTCAAACTGTTGACTGCTTTAACCTGGTTGCTCCTGGGAGCAGCAGGAGTAATAAATAATCCGACGTGTTGATTCTACATTCTGCTGACCAACCCTCCAAAAATGATCCATGACCGGCATAATTCCTCTGGTATGGGTAAGAACACGGAGTCGTCCAAGTACTTGGTTCTTGCAGCGCAACTTCTTGTACCAAGCACTCGAACTACACACGCAGAACAATCAAGACTGATCCCTGATTCGTTGTGATGAGCTTGAGATTGCCTCTCACCTTGCAAGACCAGGACTCTCCCTGTAGCGCTGCTGCGCTGAACGTCTCAAAGTCACAGCAGGGTGTGTTAAGGAAACCAAATAAACATGCGGAGTGGATAAGAGGACTTTGGATAAGAGGACTTTGCAACTACGATCTTTGCTAGACCGTCTCTTAACAAGCACATACTTTTTTTGCTGCAGAAATTAGATAATTGTGTCATTCTGGCTGTAGCAGTACTATTTCCCCACTCACTTGCTACTAAGAAATTCTGTATTTATATAAACTTTCCCTTTATGTGCAGAAAATAAAATATATTTTTCTCATATCTGATTTCATAGCTGCTTGGTGGACTGATGTGTCAGCCAGCAGGGCTTAAGAGATACATATACTACAGGAGACTGAGATACAGTATGTTTATTCTTAACTTCCGATAACCTAAGAACTACAGGAAGGAGAGATGCAGTATCCTTTTGCTGTGATCAAAACCAACCATTTTTAGGGAGCAAAAAAGTCAAATAGTTATCAACACTAGTGCTACATTTGTTCCAAATATTTTTTTCCAATCGTGATAAGCAGTTATTATCAATCTGGCCCACTTTAAACTTGATCAAGTTAAAAGTGACATTCTAAAATTTAAGGATCATTATTTCATCAAAACCCAAGCAAGTTATAAAAACCTTGAAGCCATAATTTTAGTGTAGGATTTGTTTCATACCTCCATGTTTACCATCACTTGCAGAAAAGGGATAATGCATCTCAGTTTGCTTACAAGCTAGGAGATCACTTTGAATTCTGCATATTCCTAACTGCAAACAAAATATAGCACTTTTAACAAGTTATAAATAAACTGGTTTTCAAGCACAGAGCCAGCCCAACAATAATAACACACTATTAAAAAGACCTAAGGCAATGAATTCCATCTCCAATGGAAAAAAAAAGAAAAAAAAGAACTGTGCAAACAAGCTTAAAACTATTTCTTTGTGCCAGTGTTATAAAATGTAGATTTTAATAAAGCCTTGACCCAAATGCCAGGACTTGTGAAAAGAATCATAACAAAACCAGTTACTTTATTTAGGAAAAAAATACTCTTATCTTGCTGCTAATAAAATTGGATACACGCAGTTTAAACATTTACAGTTGCTGTAACACTTTACACAATTCCTATATATGGGTGTAAGAACAAACATTAAAGGACAATGGTGGGTCAAGGCTTTACATTAAAAATAACAACCTATTTTTTCTATAGTCTCTAAAGTATTATGTTTTTTCCCCAATATTTGCAGCCATTCAGTAATAATTTTTATTTATTTTTATTTAGGAAATGTATATTTTGTGCATGATTTTAATTCCTAATTCCTGGCTCTTTGGGCTGAATGACAAAAGGATCAAACCCAGGAAAGTGGATGGTCTCCTCGAAGGTTCAGTGGAGAAACCCTGGCTCAGTTAGTCTCATAGGATGAAAGCAGCGCTGCATCCACCGGCTCCATGCAGGAAGGACAGGTAAAGGATCTCATCAACCAGTCATCTATACAGTCCAGGTGGTAGATGTGCATGCACGGCAGGAATCGGATGGGGTCCCCATAAACAAAGTCCATCATACAAATGACACATCTAGGGGGAAACAAATGCAGAACGTTTACAGCACTGTCACCTCACTGGAAGTGTCGAAGAGGAGCAATGTTTATCCTCAGGATCTTTGTGGCAAACCACCAGGAGGATTTCCTAGCCCCGTGCCTGCCGCCTCCAGCACTGCTTTTCCCGGTGCTCCCCTATGTCCCCACGGTAGCAGGGACCCACAAGCAGAGGGACAGCTCTGCCACAGGGGAGGAGGTAGCTGGGGCTTGGAATTATATTTCCCCTGTGAAGAGGCAGTAAAGGGGGGAGAAGCCTGAAAGGAGATGAGCGGTAGGGCAGAGGTGAGGAAAGTGACTTGGATTTGTAACAAACACAAATGCAAAGGAGAAGGGAAAGTGCCCTCTGCATAGTCGGGTCATCAGAAGGACACCTCAAGTTCTACCCTCTGAAAATAAGGCAAAGGAACAGATTATTTCACATGATTGGGGCTGTCACGTCCCCTGTGAGTTCAATTAAATCTCTAACTTACTCTCTGATCTTCTTCTCAGAGCCGTCCCTCCCAGGATCGTAGACTCCTTTAGGCAGGTGCTGAATAAGGCCTATCCTCTGCGCGATTCGGATCTGCTCCTCCTCCGTGAGCTGCGTCGCGAGCCGAGTCTGGCTGGGGGTTGGATGATAAACAGGAACAGGCACCTGCTCCTAAAATGAAAACAGTGCAGGTGAAAAACTTGCTTTCCGAGTATTTATAGGCAACACATTTAACTCTTTCCTCACTTAATCCTATGATCCTTTGTATGGTTTCCCAATCCTGCTTTGCAAATTGTGGAATGTAATTGTATGGAGAAAGGGCAAGAAGAGCAAGGCCAGGTGGGAAGACGGGCAGGGGTCTCTTGGCTGTTCTCTGCAGAGTCGCGCTCAGACTCCGTGCGGGCACAAATGCTACGAGAGACCAGGCAGACCAAGAACACTGCGGGGCTGGCCAAGGCGCAGGGAGACGAGCGGTTCCAGGGCTCGGGAAGGAGCCAAAGTATTTGTGTTAGAAAAGTTTTGGTTTACGCTTGGAGCAATTATTTACAAAGATAAGGACAGTGTATGTATGTAGTGCTTTAGAGAAAAATGTTTTAGTGGTAAATAAAAGGGTGCATGTGTGTACACACACACACACACACAAGTATATACGTATGTGTGTGAGAACTATTCCAGGTTACCCAAGCTGCAATCCAGAATTCTAGATTTAATTTTGCATGCATAAAAATGTAACCTAGACAATATGCAAAGACTTGCTCAAATTAGTACTTCAAGTTTTACACTTGTTCTCACCCATTAATGTAATTGTACAAGTTCTCCCAAGTTGGATATCAACCAATATACATTTAGAATACATTATTTTCCAAAGAAAAAAACACAGAACTTAGATGTGTGCACTTTCCTGTGCTGCACTCTCAACACTTCTTTTGAACATTATTTAACTTTACATCAGCTATTCAAGCTAACATTTATATTAATGCTGTATTTATTTTACATACATTTGAAGCACCTTTTGGGGAATAAATACTAATTTGAAGAGCAGCTATTAGGATGGTATGGGCTCGTCACCGTACAGCTCCCGTTAACGGGAGGAAAGCCTCCTAAGCTGGAAGTGTGTTCTTTTAGGGATGTCCTGAAAGCACGGCCGGTGGCTCAGGGGCACGGGAACACTGGTCAACCTGTCTGGGAGCAGGACAGGGTCCCGTTGCGGAGGACGCGGCTGCCGGCGCCGCAGGGAGCGCTGACGTGGCGCAGGGCGCGCGCGGCCTCCCCGCGCCGGCACCGAGCACAGGGATGGAGCCGCCTCCCAGCCAGCCCGAGACGGACCCAGGAATCTGCTGCCGCCAGGAGCAACCAGAGGGAACAGGAGCAGGCGCCTCCAGGAGAGGGTCTGTGCATACAGTCAAGAGTGGGAGCAAAACTGCCTCTCTGCCCCTGCTCTGCCTGCCGGGCCGCTGCTCCAGCAGCGTGTGGGCAGGAGTCCGCTGGTGTGAGCACCGATTCCCTGCAGGAGGTTCAGTGCATGCGCAGGAGGGAGTCCTGCTGGGGACACCCCTGTGTCTGCGCTGAGCTGGGGCTGCAGCTGCCCACAGCAGTTACCAGAGCCCTGGGAGGCCGGGGGACAGGGCGCAGCCCCGAGGAGCAGGGGCTCGCTCCCAGTAACAGCTTTGCTGGTCTATAAGTAACGCTAAAAATCAAGATACGAGTTTGGCACTTTCAACGCTGCCCCTTGCAATTCTGCTGCAGGCTAAAAATCCATAGTTTTTCTCCCCTTAATTTTACTGCACTGGGAGTAGGTTACACTTAATTTCTCTGGAGTAGTCACTAGTCATCATACGGATAAGGAGTTGCCGCGGGAGCCGAGGGTGACCTGTCAGCCAGGGAGTCCTGGCCAAGGGAGTTACTGCCCCGTCCCAAATGCCGGAGCTCGCCACACTCAGCCTGTCCACACAAGGAAGAGCCCCGGCCTGTCTTGTCCTGCTGCTCCCAGCCGTGACTAACAGAGGTGCGGGGATGACGCGGCGGCTCCGAGCGGCTCTGAGAAGCGCCCAGAGCGTCGGGCAGTGCCTCATGGTGCTGCTAATCCCAGCCCCGTTACCGTGAAACGCCTGCCCAGCCAGGGCTGCTCGCCCTGTGCTTAAGAACACTCTGCTGAAACAGAAAAGGTGACCGCACGCGCCGCAGCCAGTCCGGCTACCGCTTACACCAGCGACCACCTTGTCAAGCCACTTTTACTCCAGCAGCTGTTAAGAAAAGGCCTGTTCACAGCTCTGTGAGGCTGGGAAAGCTTTTCCAACTGCTTATTGAGGAGCATGCAGGGAGGAAGCCGTCTCTGCTCCGTTCTCACCAGCCCGACCGCCTTGTCCTGCAGAGCGGCCGCCCCGGCACAGGCAGCGTGGGGTTGGTGCTCCCCTTGCTCGCTTCGCTCTCATGGAAAACGGCTTTGCAGCCATAATTATGAAATACTGAATCTCTGCCAAAGTCCCTGTTATTTATCATTTGATAAAGATGTCAGGCATTTCAAGCTAAGATGAATTTCATGCAAAATAACTTAGAAGAAGCCAAGAAGAAATAACCAAAACCGCATATTAATGTCAGCCAATGAAATAAAAATCACTCTCTGGCACTCAATTAGCTGTAATCAATTAATTATTTTTTCCCATAAGAATTTAATCATGATGAACATCCCAGCCAGCGCTGGGGCTGCTCAGCCCTCCGCTCGCTCCAAGGCGCTGCCAGACAGGACTCCCTGGCTCTCCGTGCCCAGAAATGATTCTTTCCTAATGTTTACCCTGGAATAACAGCCTGGAGGACGACAGCTGGGTTTGTGTCTCCATCTCACGCTGACTCCTCCTTTTGGGGGGGAAAACAGAGGACCTGGATGCTTATTTATGTTAGTGAAAAAATTAGACATTTCTCTATGTTTCTTAACAAGCGCAGGCGCCTCCCCTGCAGGCAGGTGCCAGCTCCCTCCTGCCAGGTCTCTACTGGGAGGCAGTTTCTGCTCAGCCCCAGGGTCCCTCCCGGCTCCCTGCGCTGCTGCAAACGGCCCCGCTTGCCTTTGACAGCGTTTTCATCCTGTTCTGGCAAGTGTAATGCATTTCTACTGCTCTGAAAACAGGTCAGTGGTAGATCAGGAACTCTTAATCCTTGGATAAAGATTATTTCAAGATCCCTCTGCTCCCTATCAGCAGTGTGTTACCAGGGGGCTGGATGTTTGGTTGTTTTCAAGCAGCTGCTCTCACGTGCCCGAGTCCTTTCAGAAAGGTTGCAGGAGGCTAAAAGGGAAGACAAATAATTCATCCCCCGTCCAGAGATCCACCAGTCTGCCCTCCAAAAGGAGAAACTAATTGTCACAAGGAACCAAATATATTCAGGAGGGTAAATATTATTTAAAATGCAAAGTAAATTTTAATTCTAAATGATACTTTAAAAATACACACCTAGAGATGTTGGGGCCTTAGTAAGAATATATAGGAAAGTGGAGTTTGTGGGGAACTGGACCGACGCCTAGCAACCGAACACCTGGAGGAGAACCAATCAGCTGGGAGCCTGTAGCCAATGAGTGCTGCTCCTCAGCGCATGCCCACCGTTTGCTTCTGTGTTTTTTCCTAAACTGTAAGGGAAAAAATCTCATGCAAGTCTACACCAGTTCGTTTACTTACAGTGCTGTAGAAATCACAGTTTTTGTTTGTTTCTTGCCTGACGTCATAAAAAATAAGTGTTTCTCACTGAGTTCATAAAAAGCAAAATGAGAAGGGGCTCCTGGCCGCTGCCCGGCTCGGCCCGTGACCGAGACTGCTGCCTTTGGGGTGGCACCTTCGCTCCTGGCCTCGTTACCCTCGTTAAGCGGCCAGGTGGGACAGGGGTCCAGGGCCCTTCTCTGTAGATGCCATTTTGATTCTGGTGGAAAGACTCCACTCCACCCACATGGTAACTCACACTCTGAAACAGCATCCTCTCCCAGGACACATCGCGCTACACCGCTCGCCGTTCCACGGCGCTTTCCAAGTCACCACAGCTTGCTTTAGTAATCCTTAGGGTATTACTTGCCAGCTAGAAAGAGCGTTTCTTGTCGTGCGGATGAGGATGGGTCATTTCTAAAGCTGAACACAGGCTGCTACAAAACACAATGTAATGAAATTGTTACCTCATCTTTTATACTGCTGCTCCCAGGTAGGCGCGGGCCGAGCGCTCGTGCTCAGGAGCCCCGTCCTGCGCCTCTCCCGAGAGGGACCGGGGAGAGCTCCTGGGCTCAGGTGGCAGCTGAAGAGCAGTTTGTGAGGATTTTAACATCCACCTTCTATTTTCCTTTGAGCTATTTATTGATAAGTCTGAGAGCGCTGAAGGACCAAGGAAAGCCACAACATAATACATTTCCTATCTCAGTTCTCCCTTTTAGTTAGTATCACAATTACCTAAAACTAATTTTTCCAGAAGTAACTGTGTGCACTAGTATTTTACTGGGCCAGAGCTAGACGAACAGCCTGCTCAGAAGCAACAACCTGCTCTTCACTTCAAACACGTCTAGTTTTGCACGTGCTCTACCAGCGCTCTCGTCCGCAAGGGTTAGTACAGACTCTGCACGTGGAAGGGTTTGCAGAGGCGAGGAGGGCTCCGCACGTCTCTGCCCAGCCGCTTGCACCACCTGGGACGCAGCTGCCGGCGGGGAGCCCCGTGGGGCCACAGTGGCTCTGCACTTGGGGGGGCGGCTGTATTTGAACGGTTACTGGAACTGTCCAACAGCCCCCCGTGTTTCTGCGGTTAATCCACCGAAACGGCAGAGAAACGCGGTCAGCACCAAGGCAAGAGCGAGCCCTGGCCGCAGCCCCCGGCCGGGAGGGAGGCCCTGGCAGAGCCCCACGCGGCTGCTCTCCCACGGGGCTTCCTTTCCCTGCCTCCTGCCGGTGCCGCCGCACCAACCCAAGCAGCTCCGCAGCCGCCGGGAACGGCTGCGACGTCCTTCTCCTTTTGGCCAGCACAAACACCCGGCCTTAGCAACCCACTGCTCTGAAATCTGATTAACCATCAACACAAACATAAGCGCCAGAGATGCAGGGGAAAAGTAGTAATTAAAAAGTAGTAATTAATCCCTAGAAGCACAATTTCCTGATGCAATCGGGGCATTCTTACACCCCCAGCCTACCCAGCAGGTTTTCTCTGGCTCCGGGACCTCATGGCCCCCGGGTACCTTGCACCTACGTGGCTCTTCCTCCGGCAGCGCCACCACGTCCAGCCCCGCCACGCACCAGGGAGCTGCTCTTCCCGCAAACCCGCAGTCACCAGCGCTCCCGAACCCCGGAACCGAGCGGCCTCTGGCATCAGGCTGCGATTCCTGCCAGACAACCCAGCGGCCAGCAGGGCGACCGCTTGTGCAGTTACTTTGTACAGGCAGGGGAAGGACCCGTAAACAGTTGAGAGAAATCCCTGCTCTCCCAGGGACGAGGGAAGCACTGGCACCTATGAGGAAAATGCTGCCGGACCAGGCACTGCTCGCTATGGAAAAATGGAAAATCGTTCACTTGTTGCTTGGATTGCACATTCATATTTCTACAAAGTGTAATCCATCGGCCAGTGCAATTTGCTTGGAATATAAATCAAGGAGATGTATAGTTAAATACTAGTGCTGAGCACCCCAAGTAACCCAACAGCACCCAGGGCGAGTGGGGGGCTCAAGCCTGTTCCAAAGTCCTGACTTTAACGCGAAAGTGCCAGCAAGTCTTTTAACAAGAACAAGGTCAGCTTGAAGGAAATTCTGAGAAGAGCCTTTCCGGGTACTGCAGGGACAAGGTAGCAAAATTACAGAAATTGGCCCTAATGAGGTAAATGGAGGAGCAGCTGCAGCCAAAAGGCCAAAACAGAGAGGAAAACATGAAATGGACCTAAGCTACAGGCACAGAACCAGCCTGCTGAGAGCTGCGGACGTATAAACACAGGCTGCACTTAACGCTGCAAATGCGCAGCGTGTTTGTGCACATTTAAATTGTAATCAAAGCACTGCTTCAAGCTAGTAAGAACATATAGCAAAAGAACGAATATTATGAAGATTCACAGATTAAACTAGGAATGCATCTTAGGAAAAGTAAACAGCAAGCAAGGTATCAAAAAATCAATGAAATCAAGTGCAAAACAACATCTCTCTAGATGTTTTTTGGCATCTTACATTCTAGCCTGAACTAGTGGCCTAAGCATACGGTTTTACAGATAAATGAACATATTTCTTTCTGACCTCAGCAAGGAAGGTTCTTCCAGCCGCGCTGTTTACCCCCTTGTCCACAGTGACACGGCGAGCTCGCACGAGACACGGACTGGGGCGCTGCACAGGCCTGGAGGGCTCCCCGGACGCTGCTCAGCAACCCGGAGAGCCTCCCGGGACAGCAGCCCTGCCCCAAACGAGT